ATGTTGGCTGTGGGCTTGTCATATGTGGTCTTTATTATGTAGAGATATGTTCCCTCTATTTCCACTTTGCTCAGAGTTTTACACATAAATGGTGCTGGGTTTTATTAAATGTTTTTCTGCACTTATTGATATGATTACATGGTTTTTGTTTATGTGATGTATTACATTTATTGGTTTCTGGATATTGTATCAACCCTGCATCCCTGGAATAAATCCCCCTTGATCATGGTGTATGATCTTTTTAATATATTGCTAGATCAAGTTTGCTAATATTTTGTTGAGGATTTTAGCATCTATATTCATAAAAGATATTTACGTATTATTTTCTTTCTTTTTTTTTCCAGTGTCTTTATCTGGTTTTGGAATTAGGATAATACTGGCCTCATAAAATGAGCTTGGAAGTTGCTCCTCCTTTTGAATTATTTGGAATAGTTCAAAAGGAGAGAACTATTGAGAAGGAGAGCTATTAGTTTTTCTCTAAATATTTGTTAAAATTCACCAGTGAAGCCATTTGGTCCAGGATTTTTGTTTGTTGAGAGTTTTTAAATTATTGCTTCAATTTCACTAGTTGTAATCTGTCTATGCAGATCTATGATTCTTCCTGATTTAGTTTTGGAAGATGGTATGCTTCTAGGAATTTATCCATTTCATTCAGATTGTTCAATTTGTTGGCATATAGTTACCCATTATATTTTCTTACAATTCTTTATATTTCTTTGTTGTCAATTATTATTTCTACTCTTCCATTTCTGATTTTATTTATTTGGATTCTCTTTGTCTTTTCTTTTTTAAAATATTTACTTTATTTCTTAGAGAGAAGAAAAAAGAAGGAAAAATAAACAAAGGGAAACATTGATGTGTGAGACAAACATCTACTGGTTTCCTCTCACACACCCCCAACTGGGGACCTGGACCACAATCTAGGTATGTGCCCTGACTGTGGGTCGAACCAGCAACCTTTTGGTTCACAGGCTGGCATTCAACCTAGTGAGCCATGAGTCATAGCTTTTCTTTTTCTTTGATGAGTCTGATTACAGATTTATCAATCTTGTTTATCTTTTCAAAGAAACAGCTTTTAGATTTACTTTGTATTATTTTTATTTCTTTATTTTATTTATTTCAGCTCTGATCTTTATTATTTCCTTTCTTCTACTCACTTTGGACTTATTTGTTGTTCTTTTTCTAGTTCCTTTATGTATAAAATGAAATTTTTTATTTGAGATTTTTTTTTGTTTGTTTCTTGAGATAGGTTTGAAATGCTATGAATTTTCCTCTTAGGACTGCTTTCACTGTGTCCCATAGATTTTGGGGTTTTTTGGTTCTCATTTTCACTTGTTTTAAGGTATCTTTTGATTTCTTCCTTGACTTAATTGTTAATTCATTTATTGTTTAGTAACATGTTACTTAGCCTTCATGTCTTTGGGTGTTTTAATTTTTTTTCTTGTGATTCATTTCTAGCATTAAAGTCAGAGAATATGGTTGATTTGATTAAATCTATTTAAATTTATTGAGACTTGTTTTGTGTTTTAACATGTGGTCTACCCTAGAAAATGTTTCATGTGCACTTGAAAAAAATATATATTGTGCTGCTTTGGGATGAAATGCCTAAAGATATTAATTAAATCCTTTTAATCTACTGTGTTATGTAAGGCCACCATATCTTTGTTGATTTTCTGTCTGAAAAATCTATCCATGATGTCAGTAGAGTATTAAAATCCCCTGCTATGACTGTATAACTGTTCATTTCTTTTTATATCCATAAAGATTTTCTCTGCATATTTCAATGCTCCTACATTGAGTACATAAATGTTTACTAGGTTTATATCCTCTTGTTGATTGTCCCTTTTTTATTATGTAGTGTCCTTCTTAGTCACTTAGTATAAAACCTTTGTTTTAAAGTCTGTTTTGTGAGATATAAGTATTGTCACTCCAACCTTTTTCCTTTCCTTTTGCACAACATAATTTTTTCATTCTTTTTATTTTATTTATTTTTTAAAATTTTTATTATTTATTTTTCAGAGAGAGGGAGGGAGAAAGAGAGAGAGAGAGAGAGAGAGAGAGAGAAATATACACATGAGAGAAACATTGATCAGTTGCCTCTCATATATGCCTCATCTGGGGACTTAACCCTCAACCCAGGCATGTGTCCTGACTGGGAATAAAACCAGTAACCTTTTGCTTTGTGGAACGATGCCCAACCAACTGAGTCACATCAGTCAGGGCCATCCTTTACTTATATCTTTTTGTTCTGAGATGGGTCTCTTGTAGAAGCATATGTATGGGTTTTTCTTTCTTATCTATTCACTACCCTGTGTCTTTTGATGGGAACATTTAAGCTATTTACACTTAAAGTGATTATTGATAGGTACATACTTATTGCCATTTATTCTTTTAACTATGTTCCTGTGCTTCTTTTCCCTTCGTTTTCTCATTCTTAATGCAGGCCCTTTAACATTTTTTATAACACTGGTTTTGTGGTAAGAATCTCCTTTAGGTTTCTCTTGTTCAGGAAGCTCTTTGTTTTTCCTTGTTTTAAGTGATAGCTTTGCTGGGTAAAGCAGTTCTGGTTGTAGGTTCTTGCTTTTTATCACTTTGAATATTTCATGATGCTCTCTTCTGGACTGAAGTGTTTCTGTTGAGAAATCAGCAGACAGTCCAATTGGAGCTCCCTTGTAGATAACTGTCTTTCTCTTGTGGCTTTTAAGATTCTCTCTTTGCCTTTAACTCTTGCATTTTAGTTATGATGTGTCTTGGTGTGGGACTCTTTAGATTTATCTTGTTTGGGACTCTTTGTGCTTCTTGAACTTGTGAGTCTTTTACTGACACCAGGTTAGGAAATTTTTTGGTCATTATTTCATCAAATAGGTTCTTGCTCCCTTGCTCTCTGTTCTCCTTCTGTTATTCCTATGATGTGGATGTTGATATATTTCCTATTGTCCCCAAGGTCCTTTAACTATCTTCATTCTTTTTAATTTTTTTTTTGCTGCTCTAATTTTTCTACCTTGTTTTCCAAATCACTGATTTGATTTTCTGCCTCATCCAACCTACTGTTTATTTATTCCAGTGTATTATTGATGTCAGTTACTATATTCTTCATTTGTGACTGATTCTTTTTCATGGTTTCTGTTCTTTTTCATGCTATTGTAGTTCTCACTAAGTCTTTTTAGCATCCTTATAACCATTACTTCGAACTCAATATTTGATAAATTGCTTCTCTCCACTGTATTTAGCTGTTTTTCTGGAGAGTCTTCCTGTTCTTTCATGTAGGACTTTTTTTTTTGTCTCCCTATTTTGGCTTCCTTTTTGTGTTTGTTCCTATGTATTAGGTAGGTCTATTATGACTCCCGGTCTTTGTGGGGTGGCCTCATGTAGTAAATGTCCTGTGGGATCTAGTGGCACATTCTCTTTGATCACTTGAGCTAGGATGTTCCTTGTGTGAGTGATGTGGGCTGTTCTGTTGTGACTGAGTCTTGATTGCTATTTACCTATTTGTGCATGAGACCAACCCTCAAGCTGGCTGAATGTGAGGCTCAACACTGAGTGTAATGTGCAAGCTGCTGTGTAAATACTTACCACATAAAGTAGAATTCACCTCAGAGGGCTTTGTGCCTCCCAAGATCTCCATTTGGATATGTTGCTTGTGAAGCTTATTGGATCCTGCTCTGATGTTTTCTGAAGCTGGCCTCATGGTGTGTTAGTTTTGGGCCTCTTGGAAGGGACCCTGGAGCAGACCAATGTCAGACACTATCTGTGCCTAGCCCTTGGCAATCTGTCTGGAGTTACAAGTGGTGCACAGTTTGTGGCTGCCTCTGCTGGGTTTGGGTGCTTGTGGGAAGACCATGCTGTGCACCAAGGCTGGCTTTTTCCAGCTCCAAACACAGGAGCATGTCAAAGAAAGTCCCAAGTCACCCTAAGATCTACATCCACCTGCTGGCTGCCTGTTAGGTTCAGTCACTAACAGAACCTCTGTAGTTGGGTGGATAGGGCTAGTGGATCTCCCATGGGGGGGTGCTGGTCAAGCTTCAGGGAAGGTGGTAGGTGTGCTTCCCATCCCAGAGCCATAGGACTCTGTCCTGAATTTTGTCCTGACTTTGTCAGGGTGGAGCCAGTAGGGGTCAGGCAGGTAGGGCATCTGAGGCCCAGATGTTGGTGCTGCCAGAACCCAAGAAGATGGTTCTGTCAGATCTCTCACGAAGGGGAAGCACCAGTCAGGATCACAGGAAAGTGGAGGGAATGGCCCCACCTCAAAACCAGACAACTCAGTCACTGACAGCCCCTGAGTCTGCCCAGACCTCTACACCCAAGCCAAGGCAGCTGACTCCTCATCAGGGCTTAAGCTTTGCAAGGTGAGGTGAGAGGCATCCAGAGGGTGGGAAAATTGCTTTCCCCCAGATTACTGCTGCTTGGAGGGTCATTCTCCACCCAAGAAACATGGCACCTACAGTATGGAAGAGGGCCTCAGCAGAGGGATCCTAGCAGCTGTCCCCTCATCTCCCTTCCTAGAACCACAAACCCCAGACTCTCCTCATACAAATCTAGTCTTCTCCACCAGAGCCCAGGGTGAGTGACTACAAACAAAATGTTGTGCATTGGCCCTTTAAGAGGGTGTCTGTATCTGTAGAAAACTCCATCTCTCCCTAAGGGACAGAATCTCTCCTGATTTTCACAACCAGATATTATGTGGGCCCCTCCTCCTGGCTATGGCCCCATAGTTCTCAGGGGAAACCCCCACTGCTGAAATATCTCTCCCCAACATCAGCTGCTGCTGTGGGAGTGGGGCCAGCCCTTTTCACAGCTTTTTCCTTTCTACTAGTCTCAATGTGACTTCTTTTGTAAATCCTTGACTATAAAATTGCACTTCAGTTAGACTTCAGTTGGTTGGATATTCAGGGTGATTGTTCCTTAATTTAGGAACAATCCGGTCTAGTCCTGGGAGGGGGTAAATATAGCTTCCACCTACTTGCTGCCATGTTGAAAAACCTGTAGCATAATTTCTAATATTCCAGAATTATATATTTTTATTTATCCAAGTGAAAGTCCAGAAGTACAGGAAGTGGGTGTGAACCAACTCTCATAGATACAGAGGGCAAGGAGTTTGAGCCCCTTGCAGAGACTGAGTGTTGTCCAAGTTCATATCCCAGGAGAACACAGTGGTACTGTGTGGCTGCAGCTCAGGGAGAGGTAGAAGAAGAGGCCGGAACAGATGAACTGAGATAGATCCTCAGAGCCTGGACCACAGTCTTTGGTGTTGCAACTGTGTAGACGATGGGGACACACTGAAAGTTTTTTATTATTCTGGTAAAAATTACATAAAATTTACCCTTTTATTATTTTTACTTGTATAGTTTAATGACATTGAGCACATTCACACTGAATGCAACCCACACCACCATCCATCTCTGGAACTTATTCATCTTCCCAAAGTGAAACTCTGTCTCTATTAAGCACTAACTCCCTATTCTCTTCTCCCCAACCCCTGGCAACTTCCATTCTGCTTTCTGACTCATGAATTTGACTACCCTAGTTGCCTCATATAAGTGACATCAAACAGTATTTGTCTTTTGTGACTGGCTTACTTTACTTCATATAATGTCCTCAAGTCTCATCCATGCTGTAGCAATGTCAGAATTTCCTGAATAATATTTCATTGTAGGTATAGACCACATTTTGTTTATCCACTCTTTTGTCAATGGACACTTGTGTTGTTTTTACATTTTGGCTGTCAAGAATAACACTGCTATGGACATGGGCATACAAAGTATCTGTTTGAATGGAATGGTTTTGAGTAAACTCCTGGTTAGACCAGCTTTTTCCTTTAGAAAGATCCTCTAGTAGTGCAGAAAATGATGATGATGATGACGACAATAAGTAACATTTAATAGGTACTTAATAAGTGCCAGTACTGTCCCAAGAACTTGACCTATATTGATTCCTATAATCCTCACCCCACCCTCACACTTAATTTTCTGAGGTAGATGCTCTTATGGTCTCCATTTTATGTATGAACAAATGGAGAGCAGTTAAAGAACCTCCCCAAAGTTGCACAGACAGCTGAAGACATAGTGTAATTGGACCCAGAAAGTATGCCTGCAGTGCCTACCCACTCATACTGCACCCCTTTACCTCTGACTATAGAGTGGGAAAGACAAGCTATGCAATGGAGACCATTTGCAGGGCAGCTGGAAAATCCGGGCAGGGGCTGATGAGAGCTGTGAGGTGAACTCAGGAAGCAGTAAAGGATGAACATGAGGGAAGAAATTGGAGGGGGTGGGTAAATAAGCTCCACAGAGTGAGTGACCATAGAGGTGAAGACGGTGAAGGAGTGTGAAGTGATGAACAGCTTTTGAACTTGATATTGAAGAGTGGTGCCATTCACTAGGAGAACATGGGTAAATCAGAAGGTTAAAGGGAAAATAATGCTTTTATTTGGTATCTGCTGAATCTGAGTCACCTGTAGGACATTCATATAGAGGTATCCAATAGGCAGTCCAATTCCATTCAATTTGAGGCACATATTGGGAAGTCATTAGCTTGTCCATGGATCATGTGTATCAAATGAAAGGAAGGTGGAAACTGAAACCAAGGGACTGGGGAGCCACAAAGCCAGGGCAGAGGGCACCCCTTTGACATGACAGCATGGAGAGGGGGGATGAGTCTCATTGTGTTGCCCCATGTGCCATTTAACACCATGTTCCTGTTTGGGGCAACAGCAATGATTGGGGGCTGGGTTAAAAAGAGGAGTCAGCAGACACTTGGAGAGGAGTGCCAGAAGGTTAGGACATGGAAGAAGAAGCAAGGCAGGAGACAGTTTCTGGAAGGATGGTGTCGAATGCCTCACAGAGATTGGAAAAGCTGGGGGGGGGGGTGTGGCACCTGAAGGATATCCACTGACTTTTGCATCTTGTAAAGAGCCATTCCATAGAAGCAGGAGTCAGGTTGCCTCACACTGAGGCATGACAGAGAGGTGCAGAGTGAACATGGGACAGAGTATGGAGAAGCACACTGGGAGGAGATGGAACAGAAAGTATCCTGTGGGGCCCAGGGCCTTTGGTAGGCCAGTGGAAAATGCAGAATACATTCACCACCAAGCACAAGGAACTGGTGCTGAGGGCAACCAGGCCAGCCATCAGCACCAGGCCTGGGAGGTCTGGGAATGTGACAGTGAGATGTAGGGAAGAAGCATGAGCCTTCAGTGGTAAGACACACTGAGACAGAAGAGCCAAGAAGCATGGCCTTGCATCCACTGGGCAGAGACAGTGGGGAAGCTGGAGCTTTGTGAAGTGAAAATGCTCTGTGCTAATGTAGACACAGTGAAGCTGGTACACTCACACCTTGGAAATAATAGCAAATTGCTTTTGGAAGTCATTTGACAATAGGTATAAAGTCATAGTTCATGCCCATTGATTTAGTGGAGTTAGTTCTGGGGATTTACCTTCAGGATAAATGAATGAAAAAGCATGCATACATACCATGTGCTTGTGGCACATTATTTACAATATTATTTTTAAATGCACATGTGGCTAATGGTATGGAAACTAGTTAAGTAAATTATGGAACGTTTGTTCAGTGGATGGGATAATATGAGGCCATTAAAATTATAATTATGAACCTTATAGCTACACAGAAAACTGATTATGATAGTGCATAAATATTTTCAAATTGTACACACACTCTAATTACAATGATGTGAAACATGCTTTTCCATAAAAATATACTACAATAGAATTCCTAAAAATGACACTAGCTATTGGTTGGGGTAAATGGTAAGATTATGAGTAACTTTTTTCTTTCTCCATTTGTAAAACTCCTTTTGATTCCTGACAGTGCCATTCTGATTAGAACAACAAACAAGCAGACGTATATATTACTAATTATTGTCCTACTGTAAAAAGAACATAATGAATTTTTCCCTTGGTGCTGAAGTCCATTAAGATGGATTTTATGTGATGCAGTGATTCCACCGGAAGTCCCTCCCATATGATGTGGACATTGAGTGTTGACAGTACTGGGTGCCTCCTCCTGGCCAGTGTCTCCCACACTGCAGCTCTCCTTCCCTGGGCACATCCCCAGCAGAGCCCAGCAGCACACCCTCATTCGACCTCACAGCCTTCTCATCCAAGCCTCAGCATGGAACACGGTCCTGAACGTACTGTATGTGAGTCTATCTCTTAATATTTGTCATCTTCTATTTTGAGTTAAATTCTCTTTTTTCAGATAATAACATTTAGGGAGTTTATTATTGGTTGTCAAACAAAATACTCTCATGGCTGAAAGCTTTTCTGTAAAAAAGAAAGAAAAGGGTTTTTTGAGCCGTATGCTAGCCAGAGAAGGGGCAGGTTCTGGGGCGTGCAGCCTAAAACCCTGGCAGCAGGGCTAATGGAGAAGACATGTCTTCTGTTCTGGGGCTGATGGGCTCTTTTAAGGATACCGTTTGGGGACAAAAGAAGTAAGCCATTTTGAAAGAAATTACACGGGTTTAGATACAGGAGTGGAAGGAGAAGGGGTGCTAGTTCTGGGATAGGTGCAGGGTCTGTGAGGAAGAAGGGTCTGCTCCTTTGGAGTGGTTGTGAGCAACAGTCCAGAAAGTTCATTTGTAACCAGGAAGTGGAGGCACCTGGTGGTTGGTGGCACCTGGGTATTCTCTTTAGTTAATTGCAAAAATAACCTCCATAAAGCTGATTCAAAGTTCTGGACTACACTCAGAAATGTGAGTGGTCTTGATCGTTCTGCCCTGCAGTTGTTAACTGATTAACCCCTCTTGTCTCTTCCTTTCACCCTCTGGCCTGCCATAATTTTATTTAGAGCGTTTTGGAATTTTTTCATGGTTAGGGTTCACAACAATGATATAAGTGCCCATTCTGAAATGGTAACAAGAAGTCAGATGATATCCAATCTATATTGGGGGCAGAGCAGCTTGAGATATAAGCCGTAGATACTGTACTTTTGTTTGCAAGAATTTCCCTTCATTACAGGAAGCTGTTGCTAAGTAAGGGTGTATTACAACTTTGGTTTCTAGTCTCAGAAAATTTACCTTTGATTAAAAAGAACCAATTTAACATGGAAGATAATGGATAATAAGTTGAAATGTACATTAAAAAAATAAATTGGAATTCAGAGATTTGCTCCAATAGATTAATTTAAAGGTATAGTCAACACACCAGGTGTTTTCAAGATGTATCATAATGTACAGAAATCACCTAGACTGAATCCAGGAAAGGGGCAGGGATCTTACCCCCTTCAGCCTTTTTGGTATTTAGTTGCTGATTCGGTTGTAAACTGCTCCATCTTGTGGTTAAACAGAAAATTAGTAACTAGAAATCTGGATGCTCTTATTTTCACAGCAAAAACATTGTATTCTCTCCTCTGTTATAAAAAATTATGAATGAGTTTTAAGCAATTCAAGCCACAAATCAAAGAAGAAAGTAAAAAATTATCAATAATTTCATTGTCTAGAGAGATCTATGTATACATAAATTTTAAAAGGCAAACATAGGCACATCTTACATGCATTTCTTTTATATAAAAGAAATAGTTACCATTTGCCTTTTTTCACTTCAAATGAATCACTGTCTCAACACATTGCAGGAGTGAGGGCCACTCAGCTTCACGTTATGTTAGCAGCTTAGAATAGAAGCTCAAAATGTTTTCATAGAAATTAGGGTAACCACAACCTCCTTGGGCATCGACTTCCTAATCTGTTCAAGGGGGCGGGTGTCAGAGGTGGATGCACACCAGTGGGACCCTGAACTCCGCTACCAGACCTTCCTGCATCCGTGGTCTTATGCTGTTGCACATTTTATGTGGCCTCCCTGGGGAAGCATTTGGTTTGCAGTTTGATTAGATGTTCCCTAAGTTCTCCACTTGAGACAGTCTGATTCGGTTCTGGTCCTGAGAACTCTTCAAAAACCCTGTCAGTGTTTTTCTAAGTGTGGTTCTGGACCAGCCAACACTGACTGTGGGCTGCTAGGCTATGAGCATCCTCAAGCCTCCTCCCAGACCTCCGGAGACAGAAACTCAGCGGGTGGGCCCCTGGCTGTCACACTGGCTGTCACCTTGAACAAGCTTTCCAGGTGACTAAGTTTGAGAATCACTGAGCTAGAACATGAATAAAAACATTCCATTCTTTCTTACCCACTTATCTTTTGCCTTCACATGATTAATTTCCAAGATTTTACCTCCACTCAGGATTAGACAGTTATAGTTCAACTGATCACAAAGATAGGTTTTAATATCAGTGGATCAGGCAGTTATGGGCAATCTTGTTAAATTAACAGGATGGGGTCACATGAACTTAAGATAAATCAAGAATGGCCTGATTTGGAGCTTGGCTTTCAGAACCTGGTGTCAGACCCCTTTCTCTGCTTCCACTGCCAGCACCCCAGCCCCAGCCACCCCCACCGGTCACCTGACTCCCTGTAGAAGCCTTGTATCTAGCCTCCCTGCATTCCCCAACTGCCTCCGCTACCTCGTGCAGTTGCTCCTCACACCCTGTGTTGTACCAAACTGCTCCAAACACACAGTGACTCCCCTCTCTCCAAAAAATCCTACTGTCTTAAATAACTTAAATAGGTGCTGCTACCATCTCTCTGACTACTTCCTGATACTCCGCCCCCCCACTCCGCACACTTTCTCTCTGCTGTTGTTATCGAACAGAGGTCAGGGGGGACAATATTTGGCCCACCCAGGGATGCCAAAATAAAAAACTGCTACAGAACAACAGGGGCCCCCCCAAGGACAGTATACTAATACCTGCTGGGTTCGTCTGTCCGCTGCCAATTGGAAAGACATCTCTCAATGCCAGAGATCTATGAAAAGGAAACAAAATGTTTATTTAATGCTATGCAGGCCTAATGCCTACATTAAAATATCAAAGTCCTTTAGGGTATACACCTGCACCCACACAGCGCTCCCTTCTCCCACTGTCCCAACTCCAGGTACCGTAAATCAAGAAAGGAGCACACATCCGTTTTTCTAGGCCACTGGTATCGTCAGCTGTGTTGACCATCCAGTCAGGATCTCCAAGTTAATCCAAAGTACTGTGGTACCCTCCCATGGTCCACTGGCAAGAGTTCTTTGTACCCAGTTCCAGTCAAAGTCTCTCCTGCTTTCCAGGCCACTCGGCCAAAGGGGGCACCCCAAAGCCGCGTGGGCCTCTTCTACCAAAGCTGCAGGGGTTCGCGCTCAACCAAAAGCATGTGTCTTTCTTCTTCACCTGGCTGCAGGGATCTCCATTCTGGCAAAGCTGCATGGTTTTTCCTTTCACCTGGGAAAGGGGGGGGTCTGCACTCCGCCAAAACCACAATTCTCTCTCACTTCGCCAAGAGGGGATCCTTACTCTGCTGAAACTGCATGGCTCTCCCTCAATGGCTGCCATGTCTGGGTTTAAATCCCCACGCCAATCTTCCTCTGTGCCCCTAATCCAACTCCTCCCACAATTGGTTACACCTGCCAGTATTTCTGTATTATTACAAGTTTACTGGGCTGCCATCATTAGTCTGGGCAGGTATGGCCCCATGGCATGGAGCCAATCAACTCCAAGCTCTCACGCAGGCACTGCAACTCGGGGGAACTGCCCCCTAGTTATGTCTTGGGTGGAAGTCACTTCCATCCCCCTGGCTCAGACCATGGCCACAGCTTTTTAACATATCTATGAAACCAGTTAAAGGTTATAGATATGTTAAATGACCATTCCAGAGGTTAGCTGCAAAACTGTTGCTATGCAAAGCAGCTCTCAATGGCCCTGCTCCATCTGTCCCTTCTTCCTAGGGGGCAGGTGGTAAGGACATCTTAATATTTTATGGACACCCTGAGCTCTGGACCCCATCCCAAATCCTTTTCTGGGGGCCCCCACCTGGCTGCACCCTGTTACACTGTAACCACACCTGCCTCCTCCTCTTCTTGGTCCCACCTTGGGGCCTTTGCATTAGTTCATCCCTTTGCCCAAGGCCCTCTGGCTAAGAGCACTTGTTGCCTGCTCTCTCACTGCCTTCATGTCTCTGCTTAAATGAACCTCCATGACCTGCCTATTTGAGTTGTAGCCTCTCAGCCCACTCTTCCCTTCCTCATTCCACCCCCCCTTCCCTACTTCATGACACGTTCCATGTTTAATGCCAGGGAGACTTGTTCCTCTGCTGAAATATGAACCCAGTGAGATCTAGGATTTTCTCACTGCTTACTGGAACATCCTCACACAGTTAACCAGGCTTCAGGTAGTAGTGATCATGTAGCTAAGTTGGTTAGAGCATTGTCATGATATGCTTAGGTTTTAAGTTCAATCCCTGGTCAAGACACAGGAAATCAACTAGTGAATGCATCAATAAGTGGAACAACATATTGATCTCTCTCTCAAATCAATAACTAAAAATTAAAGAAAAAACAAAGTACTTGTTGGATGAATAAAAGAGCATAGGGGAAGCACTGAGTGGAATCTGTCCTCACTCAGGGTGGGTGTCAGCCTGTGGAAGGTATGACTGCACTGGACTAGGGACAAGAAATGCTATTGTTATAGAACAGAGGTCCAAGGGGGGCAATATTCGGCCCACCCAGGAATGCCAAAAACTGTTACTGAACCCACACATACCCATACTTGGCCAAGGGGGTTATGATATACTATTACCTAAAGGACCCCCTACTGGGCTCAGTTGTCTGCTCCCAGATAGGAAAGACGTCTCTCAATGCCAGAGGTTTGTGAAAAGGAAAGGAGGCAATGTTTATTTAAAGCCATACAGACTTAAAGTAGTGACCCAATGTCCCCATTAAAATATCAAAGTACTTTAGGATACCCACAGATGCCCACAGCACTTCCTTCTCCCCCTGCCCTAATTCAGGGTACCGTATCTCAGGAAAAGAAACACATGTACGTGTTTCAGGTTGCTGGCACTGTCAGCTGTGTCACCGTCCAGGCAGGATCTCTAATTACTCCAAAGTCATGTGGCACCTTCTCAAGGTCCACTGGCAGAGTTCTTTCACCCTTTTTCCAGGCCAAGTCTCTCCTGCTTCCCAGGCCCTGCAGCCAAAGGGAGCACCCCAAAGCTGTGTGGTCCTCTTTTACCAGAGCTGCAGGGGTCCCTACTCTGGCCAAAACTGCATGGTTCTTCTCTCCACCAGAGCTGCAGGGTTCTGCACTCTGGCCAAACTGTGTGGTTTCCTCTTCACCTAAGCTGTGGGGAGTGGGGGTGGTCGCCACTTTGGCCAAAAGCCAAGTGGCAGTTCTCTGCTAAAGCCTCATGGTGACTCTCTCTACCCCAGCTGTGGGGGTCCCCACTCTGCCCGAAGTGTAGCTTTCTCTCACCTAAGCTGCAGAGATCTGCCCTAGGGTGGAGCCATGTGGATCTCTCTCAATGCCTGCCAAGTGTGGGTTTAAATCCCCACACCAATCTTCCTCTGTATCCCCATTTCCAACTCCTACAATCAGCCATACTTTCCAGCACTCCCATATCTTTCCAAGTTTACAAGGCTGCCATTGTGAGTCTGGGCAGGTGTGGCCCCATGTCATGGAGCCGATCATCTCCCAACTGTCACGCAGGTGCTGCAACCTGGGGGACCTGCCCCCAGTTACATCTTGGGGAGGAAGTCCCTTCCATCTCCCTGGCTCAGAGCATGGCCACAGCTATTTAACATATCTATGCAACCAATTAAAGGTTATAGATATGTTAAATCACCATGCCAGAGGTTAGCTGCAAAGCTGTTGCTATACAAGACAGCTCTCAATGGCCCTGCTCTATTTTTCCCTTCCCCCAACTCACACCTGTGTTGGGGGGAGGAGGGAGGACATCCTATATATATTTCCAATATTTCCTGGACACCCTGAATTCTGGACCCCATTCCAAGTCCCCATTTGGGGCCCTCCTCTTGGCTGCACCCTATAACACTATGTGGCCTCAGTTGGGGCAGTTATCTCAGATCCAACAGCCAGCCCTGCGTGGACTGAAAGCCTCCCAGTGCAGAGCTACTGGCAGTCGCCACACCAAGTCCATTCATCTGTGAGCCAGGCTACAGACTTAGCTGAGAGGGGCTAATAAAGTAATATGTGTGAGGGAAAAACTTTCATTTTTTGTTTTAACATTTACGCATCACAGAATCCCTCTCTGAAAAAAAGTCTTACAGGATAAATCTACTCATAAAGAGTATGTGGTTATATTTACATCTGCTAAAACAGTATGTGACCCTATAAAACACTGAGCTTATTCATTGTTTGAAAGTAAAAACGTATTGACAAAGTGTGGAGTTGAGTAATATACTGCAATCTTTTTAAAAATATATTTTATTGATTATGCCGTTACACTTGTCCCATTTCCCCCCTTCACTCCCCTCCACCCTGCACACTGCCCCCCTACATTTCCCCCCATTTAGTTCATGTCCATGTGTCATAAGTTCTTTAGCTTCTACATTTTCCAAACTACCCTTGCCCTCCCCCTATTTTCTACCTATCGTCTATGCTACTTATTCTCTGTACCTTCTCCCCCCTTCTCCTCCTCCCACCTCCCTGTTGCTAACCCTCCATGTGATCTTCATTTCTATGCTTCTGCTCCTGATCTAGCTGTCTGCTTAGTTTGCTTTTGTTTTAGGTGTGGTTGTTAATAACTATGAGTTTGTTGTCCTTTCACTGTTCACATTTTTATTTTTTTTCTTGGATCAGTCCCTTTAATATTTCATATAATAAGGGCTTAGTGATGATGAATTCCTTGAACTTGACATTATCTGAGAAGCACTTTATCTGCCCTTCCATTCTAAATGAAAGCTTTGCTGGATAGAGCAATCTTGGATGTAGGTCTTTGGATTTCATGACTTGGAATACTTCTTTCCAGCCCTTTCTTGCCTGTAAGGTCTCTTTTGAGAAATCAGCTGACAGTTTTATGGGAACTCCTTTATAGGTAACTGTCCCCTTATCTCTTGCTGCTTCTAGAATTCTCTCCTTCATTTTAATCTTGGCTAATGTAATTATGATGTGCCTTGGTGTGTTCCTTCTTGGGTCCCCCTTCTTTGGGACTCTCTGAGCTTCCTGGATTTCCTGGAAGTCTATTTCCTTTGCCAGATTGGGGAAATTCTTTTATTATTTGTTCATAATAATAAACTCATTATGTTTTCCACTTTTGCTCTTCCTCTTCCCCTTTTGGTACCCCTATAAGTCAGATGTTGGAACATTTAAAGATGTCCTGGAGGTTCCTAAGACTCTCCTCATTTTTTTGAATTCTTGTTTCTTTATTCTTTTTTGTGTGGTTGTTTCTTTCTTCCTTCTGGTCCACTCCACTGATGAGTGTCAGTTTTCTTTCCATCACTCTGGATTCCCTTTGCATTTTGGTTCATTTCACTTAGTGTAGCCATCATTTTTTCATCTAATTTGTGACCAAAATCAACCAGTTCTGTGAGCATCCTGATCATCAGTGTTTTAAACTGTGCACCTGATAGGTTGGCTATCTCTTAGTTGCTTAGAAGTATTGGCTCTGGGGCTTTGATCTGTTCTGCTTGAGCCATAATGTTTTGGTCTGTTTGCACCTGTTATGTATGAGGGGCGGATCCTTAGGTGTTCATCGGGGGGGTCAACCCAGTCACTGGGTTGTGATGCTGTAAGTGGGGCCAGGGTCAGAGAGGGAGCAATTGCGCTTGTTCCGCTCTCTCGGATTTCAGTCCCCTCTTCCGCTTCCCACAAGCAAATTGGGCCCTTCTGGCCTGGTACCTGGGTGGGTGGGCTTGTATATGTTCAAGGACCCTGTGGGTCTCTCCAATGAACTCTCCTGTGATGCTGGGAGCCTCTCCTGGCACCTCGACCCCTGAAAGTTTTTCCATTCGGTGCTTTTAGGCTTTAGAGCCCGTCGCTGGGACCCTGGCTTGTGCAGTCTGTCTCACTGCCCTTTTTTTTGCCTGGTTTATCTGTACACAAATGTGTGTCCTTGGTCTGCCGACCGCCTTGCATTCCTCATCCCCCCCACCCCCGCCCCGGCCCCGCCCTGCACCGGGTTCTGTTAACCACTGCCTCTTTCTGCCAGCCGCTGACTCTTCCCCTCTTACTGGTCTGGATGAATGGTTTGTTGTTGTGGGACTCTGGTACAGTTCAATTTTCTGTCTGTTCTGGTTGTGTTTTTGTTTCTAAATCTTTGTTGTCCTTAAATTTGGTTGTGGGAGGAGGTACAGTATTTTCACCTATGCCTCCATCTTGGCCGGCAAAAATTATAGTAGATTTCAATCTTATATAAATAAAATTATTTACAGAGGATGCGGTCTGCCAATTATGCCAGTGAAGTATAATGTTATACATGTGATTTATAAATGAGTTCCTTTTGTAAGATTTTTAAATTACTTAAAAAAAAAATCTCAAACTTAGAGTATGTCCAAAAAATAGTACAAAAAACCTCTTCTCTCCTAGAATCACTTGAGAGTAAGTTGTCAACATAATGCCTCATCATCCCATAATATTTTGGGTCAACAAGCAAGAACATTCTCTTATGTAAGCACAGTATAATCATTATACCGTATTGTTCAGACTATAATATGCATCTCCCCCTGAAAAATTTGGCAGGAATAATGGTTGTTAATGCTGCTGTTGCATTCCGATTACATTTACATTGGCAAAATATATTATTAAATGTTTTACCACATTTTTTGCTTCAGTTTTTTTCTATTTCCTTTCTCTAAAACCTAGGTGTGTCTTATGATCCCCCAAATAGGGTAGTTAAAATTTAACAGGGCTGCCCTGCCTGGTATGGCTCAGGGGTTGGAGTGTAATCCTGTAACCGAAAGCTTGTGGGTCCAGTTCCTGGTCGGGGCACATAGCTAGGCTGTGGGTTCATCCCGATCTGGGCACAGATGCATGTAACCCCCAGTCCAGAAGTGGACTAGGCACGATACCTGGTCCAGGCACAATCCTCCATCTGGGTGCGTACAGAGGCAACCCATCAATGCTTCTCTCATACTGGTGTTTCTCTCTCCCTTCTTCTCTGTCTCTAAAAAAGCAAGTGGAAATGCTCTCAGGTAAGAATAAAGAATAAATAAAGTTTAATAGGGCTAAGGTATGATGGACCAGTTACAGAATAATGCCATGACACACCATGTTACAAAGACTGCAGCATTATCTTTATTTTTGTTATTATTATTATTACCAATATAGTTTTATGTTTTGGTACATGTTAATTTGTAACTTCTTTTTTGACTGTTTTTATAAACAAATATTATATTTCAAATATCTTTCTGTTCTGTTAAATTCATATGGTCTACAAAGAGAATGTAAGAAAAAAAGAGAAAAGTCTTTATGGTTGAACCATTGGGAGGTATAAAATTAGCCACACAAGCTCTTCCTTGGCCACTTGACCACAGATATGCCCTAAGAGAAGGCTGTCTGCCTGAGTTGCATTTGGCAAATCAATATACAGTACACAGATCTTTCCCAGAAGTCCCTGCCTCCTGATGCATTTGGAACAGCAGCCTCTGCCAGCACCTCATTCTTCCATTATCCTGATCTCATCCTTTCTGACTGATATAAAAGTAGCAATAATGTTTACTCTGTACATACCTGTATTAGTTTTCTGTGGTTGCTGTGACAAATTACCACCAGCTTCATGGCTGAAAGCGGTGTAAATGTATTACCTTAAAGTGCTGTGGGTCAGAAGTACAACCCGGAAGGTTTAGTCTCACAGGGATAAAATGGTGGTGGGCAGGCTGAGCTCCCTCCTGAGGGTCACTCCACCTTAATAGTAAGGCTAGGGGCTCATTTTGCTGTCTGGATTAAAAAATATGGAATGATATATATTATCCAATGTTTAAATTTTTTAATTTACTTTTTCTAATTTCAAGAAAGTAAATAGATTTATTGAGCCACAGCAAGTTATTGTTACTCTGCTAACTGAGCTCAGGACTTAGGCAGATGGTTTAATCATATCCTAAGACTTTATGGAATGAGTAGTAATAGCCATATACAAGGTATGTTAGAAATAAAAAGTGCCCATCAGTTTATCCCCCAGATAGTCTTGTCTTGTCACTCCTCAGATCCCACTAGGCACTGCATCATGCTCCCTGCACAATACGAGATCTCAGCTTCCATGAAGCTGAGCATATTCCAACTGGCCTCTGAATTCTCCCTTCAGATTCCGCGGGATGCAAGATTTCCGCCAGTAAGCCAGACAGTCTCAGAGAAGCAGTGTGTGGAGACTAGGGTAAGGCACCGGTGGGGGGCTGCCCCTTTGTCCAATGCACCACCCATCTTCCGCTTGGATCCCAAGTGAAGGAAGTGGGCTGGCGGGGAGGGAAGTGAAGGGAGAGAGTTCTGGTATTTTGTGACTGCAAAGTGGAGGTGCCCACAGATGGTGGTATCTCACAGGCAGCTAGGAATACCATGTAGTGATATCTGGGGCTTATACAATAAGTCCTTAAATGTTAATGTCCAAGTAATTCCATTATAATATCGATGCTATAGGAATTTAATTCTTGTTAATATCAGTTATGGTAACATTGGTTTTGTGATATGTCATTTTGCTTCAAGTCGTAGAACCTATTGATGATGTTAAGTGAGGATTTACTGTATTTAGGGAGCTTGTGTATAAAGACCAAAACTAATCCACTAAAATACTTGGTTTTTAAACAAGTATTTTTAAAGATAGGAACAAGAAAATAAGAAATTATGTTGACTATGGAACTCTGAATTTGTCCCATTGTAGCAATCAACTGAATGAAGAGTCCTTCACTCGATGGTGTGTAGAACCCCGAGTCTATGGGTAGACTTCAGGGGTGCTGTGAACCCATCAACATTTTTGTTTGTATATACCGTATTTTTTTAAACTATAAGACACACTTCCCCCGCCCGCACCAAATTTGGGAGAAATAATGGTTGTTGATGCTGCTGTTGAGTTCTGTTTACATTTACATTGGTGAAACATTGTTATTTATGTTATTAAATATTTTACCACATTTTCCCTTCAAAATTTTGTTTCCTGTTTTCCTCTAAAACCTAGGTGCATCTTATGGCCTGAAAAATACAATAATATCTATCCAGGGCAAGAGTCCCTTGCTTTCGTCTGATTCTATGACACCACCTAATTCTATGGATTAGTAGAGTTTTTCTGTATTTTAAATTCGTATCTTTTTGAAAAAAACAAGCGTTGATGACTGACTGCTTGATGGCCTCTAGCTTGGACAACATTTGTCTGCAAAGATGTCTCTAGAGAAAGCCTCCAACACCTGTGTGTCAGGCTGCAGCTGACTAACCCCTTGTCACAGTCTGTGAGATCAGTCAAGGTGAAGAGAAGCAAGATCAAGGAGAAGCCATAGAGAGAACATCAACAAATTTCAACCAAGGTAAGCCAAGTGACAGGTGAAGAAATAATCGCAGCAGAGTATTCCAAGGCCTAGCGAAATATTGTGGGGTAACTAACTCAGGACGTGGTCCCTCTGCAACATCAGGGAACAAATGGCTGACTGGCCAGCAGCCATAAGGAATGAGGGAAACAGTGTGTATCTGGATGTCCCAGCCCTCTCAAGGGAGCTGTGTCTCAAGGCTCCTGTGTTCATCACAAAAGTGTAGAGTTTTCACATGCCCTGCTGTTCCCTTTACTGTGGCTAATCCCCTCCCCAGCCCTGTAAGTAGCACTGAGGCCAGAGGCGGCATGTGGTTGGCTGCCCTATCCTCTGCCCTTGGGGCACTCCCCTGTAACCTGAATAATAAAGGGCATGTAATCTGCTGGTCCTCCAGGTGTTTTTTTGGAATATCATGAACACAAGTGCAGCCACCTGGCTTGAATTGTGTTGTAGTTGGCATCATGAACAGGATATTCCAGAAAGTACCCCTGTTGATTGCTGAATGACAACATGCTGGATGGGAGAGGCGGGGTTAGGAGAGGGGAAATTTTGGGGTGACTGGGGGCAATCCCAGGGAGATTAGCTGGAGGAATCCTGGGGTGGTCCACTGTTTCAATGTGGAATGAGGTGGCAAGCCAGGATTAGGGGGATGTTCCTAACACTCCCAGAGGACTTGTAGAACTTTTAAAAAAGATTTCTTTAAAGATTTCTTTCTTTCTTTATTTATTTAGAAGGCAAGAGAGGGAAAAAGAGAGGGAAACGTCAATGTGTGGTTGCTTCTTGCACGTCCCCTACTGGGGACCCGGCCTGCAAACCAGGCATGTGCCCTGACTGGGAAGACAATAAAAACGTGAGTGCACTTGCCAATGGAAAAAACTGTTTCTGAAAGTTATGAAATGTATTCATAAATTTGTCAGTCTAAAGAATGCTAATTACTTTTTTCAGTAAAAATTGAATTAAGTTGGGGAAAAATGATTTTGGTTATAAAAGCTGTAAATTATGGCAATATATTTTGAAAGAAATGGAGTTAAAAGTAAACTGTCCTAATTTCTAGATGAGTAAGAGAGGACACTAAAAGGGACTAGGAGAGGTGCAGAGGATCTGTGCAAATTGAAGAAAGATTGTGTAAAGCACAGGCGGCAAACACAAGGCCCCGGGCCGAATCCGGCCCTCCACCTTGTTTCTACCCGGCGGCAGCGCCGAGCTCCTTGCCCCTAGTTAGGGAGCAGTTACATTTACACAGTCCTAAACTTACCTTTGGCCCTTTGAAGGCAACAGCGAGGCTGATGTGGCCCCCGGCGAAAATGAGTTTGACACCCCTGGTGCAGAGGGAGGAAATAGATGAGAAAATCCTGTACTTTTGCTATAAAAATTAGTAATTAAAATGATATGCATAGGCCTTTTGTGTTCAGTTTGTGTGTGTGTGGTCTTTATGTGACATGTCTTTTGTCTCTGTGTCACATGTGGTGCATTTTCTGCCTCCGGATGGCATAACTAGGGTGTGATAATCTACTGGCTTAAAGAAAGTAAGCACATATAAATTAAGCAGGATCTGTGGTCTGGACACATTATTTGATCTCAAAACTGGTTTTAATTAATGCCTTTTAATATTATTAGCATAAAAATGTGTTGTATTTTTAAAAGTTTGTTATATCTTTTGGTTAAGTTTATTTGACAGCCTCCCAGGGTCTAAATTTTAAGAGACTTTTTCTTAACCTAGAAATGGCTTTGAGATATTTCAGTAGGTCCCTGGAATATCTCAAGAATTTGTTCTTTCTCCTTATTAAGAAGAAATTTTGAACTAATTAGGCCTATTTAATATGCTTGAAGTATATGGGAAGCTTTGTCAGATAAATATAAGTATATTCTATTTGTATACATACATTTTTACTAAGGTAGTTGTTCTAAAGATTATATAAAAATCTCCAAGATTCTGCAAAGTTCTGATATAATTTCCCTTGTAATTTTAGTTATCTTAAATTGTTGATGCAAAAGAAGCAAATTCCTTTGCAGTGTCAATTGCATTATGATCAGGTCTATAACCATGTCATTTTAGGCTTTTATAAACAGCCACTGTTTACTCTAATACATTTGCAACAATATATAATGTCTTTGGAGGGGTTCATGAAGAGGACTCTGACTTGTTTTGGATTGTATATTTCTGAGAATGGATTTTTCGATCATACCTTTGAACTATGTAGAGACTGCTGGAGCTCCATAAAGTAAGTGGATTTATCGAGGTGCTTGCAGATGATCAGAGTAACAGAAACTAATTATGGGACACAATAAATTGAAGATAATTGTGAGTTTTATAACTTTTTGTTGAAAAATACTGTTAACTTTTAATTTTTTGTTTTCTAGACATAAGAAAGCCTTTTTTGACACATGGACAAAAAACCAAGGGGGAGGGTGGAAGCAAGGGAGGAAAGTGGGTTTGGAGAGGGTTGGGGGGAGGGGTGGGGAGAAAATACAGACAACTGTAACTGAACAATAAAATAATTTAAATTTAAAAAAAGAAAATATTTTTTCTCTTAAAACTACACTTTCATAAGCAATTTTGAAGCAATTGTATTTTTCTCCCTACCAGATCCCTCTGGAATTTGGAAGTCTTAATTAAGTGTGCTGTTACTCTTTCCATATGTTTGTTTGCATGAATCCAGTAAGAATCTGATTTCTTTATAAAATGTCACATAAAGCCAATTTCCAATTGTGGTTTTATTAACCAAGTCTTTGTCTGGAATGTCATGATTAAAAGAGTCATGCCTGGGCTCTGGGTGTCACCCGAAAACCTAAAGGAATTGAGATTGACTTTTGAAGCCAATAAGAGCCCTTGGAGAAACAGCCGGGTACCTTGCTTGGTCACGTGGTTCATGGCACTCTTTCCAGGTAAGGAGCGAAAGTTGCTTTCCTGTAAGATGGCAAGGAAGGAACCTCAAGACATTTTGGGGACCTCGAGAACTTGAGGGGCTAAAGCTCTACCTAGGAATTCTTTGTACTGTTCCAGCAAAGTAGATTTAAGAAAGCTTGTATGATCAGTTCCTAGTCCTGTTACGTTTCTGCAAATAATCGAGCCAAACTGAAACTAGACTTAATGCAGTAAATAAATTGGTCTTGATTTGGCTCTAATAAAAATGACAGTGATTTTAGAGAAAATACCTTTCAATAAAAGCTATTATATACAATTATGGAAATTAGACTTAATACAGTGAATGTCTGTAAAATTTTATTTAACTATTAACTAGACTGGATCCTGAATTTTTCTAGTTTTCTTTCAAACTAGAATTTTATTTTTCTTTCATCCTTTGCTTTAGAATTATGAGAAGTACTTATGCAGTAGCTGCCATACAGAATTTGCCTGAGTACCTGATGACATCAGCAGAGACATTTAAAGTGCAAAGAGGATCTATCAGATTGTCACTGCTTAATTTCATTTCAGCAAAAGACCTGCGTTTGGAAGTCTTCTCATCTGACATTCTTGCAGACTCAGAAGCTAGTTTTTGATCTGCTGTGTTCATTAACCTTTACATTCTTTCTGTTTTCACACCTGGTTGCTTGTTTACATAGCATAGGCCTCATTTTAGAAGCCCGTCTGCACTGCCACCTCCTGAAACGAGACTCAAAGGTTTGGCTGAATGGACTTGTTGCCAGGACTAGATGGTTGAATTGGATATAACAATCCCATATCAAGATGGTGATACTTCAGGGATTCCATCTAACCCTGCTTTAGAAGAATCAGCCAACAGCCTCTCTGTTCCAGCCTCAGATCCCACTCCCTCGTCTCCCTTAGATCAGGTGGGAAGAGACTTCCATATCCCCACACAAGCAGGGTCCTGGCTTCTTTGTCAGATTCTTAGGACTTGTCTGGTCAGGTAAGATGAGTCATGTCTTCCTTGGCCTTCACTTTATTCTGTTCTTCTGGAGGAGTAGTAGCCTGTACTGTATTTGCAGCATATGGATGCAACGTGCCAGGATCACCCAGGGACTCCCTGACCAGGAGGACTAATGCAAAGATTGTAAGGTGGAGGAGCAATGTCAGTGTGGAGTGTCAGGTAACTCAGGACGTGGTCCCTCTGCAACATCAGGGAACAAATGGCTGACTGGCCAGCAGCCATAAGGAATGAGGGAAACAGTCTGTATCTGCATGTCCCAGCCCTCTCAAGGTCCCTGTGTCTCAAGGCTCCTGCGTTTATCACAAAGGTGTAGAGTTTTCACATGCCCCGCTGTTCCCTTTACTGTTGCTACCCCCTCTCCAGCTCTGTAAGTAGCACCAAGGCCAGGGGCTAGGTGCAGTTTCCTGCCCTATCCACTGCCACTGGGGCACTCCCCTGTCACCTGAGTGATAAACAGCATATCCACATCGGCTGGTCCTCCAGGTGGGTTTTTTTGTTTTTTTTTTTTAATATCATGAACACAAGTGCGGCCCCTTGGTTTGGAGCTCCTGCATTACAAATATCAAGTTAGCATTGTTTTCCTGCTGATGCTTTTATCGGAATGCAAGGACCTGATTAAACAAGAGGGCAGGTGGAATGATGTGCCTCTCTAAACACTACCTGTGAGTCAGGGTTCACTTTCTCCTCCAAGCAGTTTTGACTTTGTGTGTCAACACTAGTAAGACCTATTTACCAAAGACCTATCCCTTTCAGAAATCCTGCTAGGTGTATCACATAAGTTTTCTAAGTGATCCACAGAACTCAGCAAAGTAGGGATACTGTCTCCATTTTTCAGACTAGAAAGCAGAGGCTTGGTGAAAGCAGTCATGCTTTCCTGAGCACCTATTATGTGCCAGGCCTCCCAACCTAAGAGCCCTGTGAGATGTGAGCCAGAAGGTTCTCCTGGCCAAGTTTTGGCTTCAAGCCCAAACTCACAGGTGAAGTTGCTGCATTTACCCAGGTCGTGCCCTCAGCTTTGAGTCATTATCACACTCAGTCACTTTCCAGCTGGACTTAATTGCCTTCTAATTGTTTTCTGTGTTTGTTATATTTCTCTATTTAGACTCTTAAGCTTTATGGTCAAAAACTGTATTTTGTAACCCCTTATGCTAGACCCATGGAGCCCCGACTGCATCAGGCAGATGGGCAGGCATACCACCACCTTCTAAATTACCTGAACAAATGTTTACTCCTGTGCTGTGAGCCAGTCAGTCCCTGGGGCAGAAAGATGAGCAGGACATTCTTCCTGCCTCTGTTGAGCTTATAGCCTGATAGGAGAAAACATATACCGATAACTCTGCTTCACAATGAGCACTGCAGCAGATGCACAGAGCTCACGCTGTAGATGCAGAGGTGGAGGCAGGAGGTTGTGTGCAGAGGGGCCAGGCCTCACGATGGGTCTGAGGTTCATGGACAGAGGGACAGTGAAGGTGGGTGGCAGCCCTGCTGGAGAGGAGGTGCCAAGCTGTAATAGTGGCTGGCATGTTTGAGGTCAGCCATCTGGTTTCAGTGGAAGCTTCTGGAATCCACTGTGATCCCAGCTGTCAAGAGCCAGTTCAAGACAGACTGAGGAGAGAGTTCCTACCATGTTTTGTAAGATCCCTGAGAAACAGAGTGAGTCGAGAGGTGGGGCTGATGGGGAGTGCTTCCTGCGGGGCAGAGGGCGGAGGCAGCAGGCCTGCACAGACGGGAAGAACGCAGAGGGCACTGAGAGTCGGGAGCATCTCATCCTTGAAACCCGAGGTGCTGCTGCTTTCCTCCAGGATGGCTGTTCACCTCCCGGTTGCAGGTTAGGTGCTCACCCAAGAAACTCCCTTTTTCATTTTAAAAATAATGCAAGTTTTGAGCTTTTGCAACCAGCAACCAAGAGAGTTTTCTTATGATTTAATATAACCACTGACATGAAATACTCAGCTTCCTTTACTTTATGTATTAAATACCACTATGAAAAAAAATATCTTCCCTTCACCATTTTCTTCCCTCACTTCCAAGAAGCAATATTCTGAAGTTATGAAAAAGAAGTTCAACTTAATAGTGGCGACACTGCGAGGGAACAGTTTGCTGCACAAAAGTAATGACGGTATCCTCAGTGGAGAGGTGTGAGGTGCTCTTATTTAGGAAGTTTGGTATTAACCTTTCCTTCTGGGCAAGGAGACCTCGCACTGCCCTGGGGGAGATTCTGATCTTGTTTACAAGTACAATTAAGTCTTAGAAAAATGAAAAAGGAATAAATTTGGAGTTTTCATGAACAGTTTTCATAGAAAACCCAAAAGTGGTCCTGACTTTTGTTAAAGTTTAAGTACCAAGGAATTAATGAAAAGTAGTATGCAAACTTACCACTTTAACAAAAGGGTATCCTCTCTTCCTTGAAAAATTTCCTAGAAGGAACTTGTCTGGTCTGTCACCTTGGTAAATGCTTCATGACTAAAAATCAAATAACAAAAGGCACTAACATAGCAAGGTTACATTATGATCTCTCTGTGTTTTATTTTAGTAACAGTGCCTGTCTGGTGAGGCCTTGATTAAAATGCCGGTTTTATCACAGTATTATTCAGGTGTGGTGTGGCCGACAGATCAGGATGCAATTGCCACTGAAGAGATGCTCTGTACAGTGGAGCATACCACATGGAGGCAGAGGGAGCAGAGGGAGTCAGGAGGCAGAGGGAGCACGTGGAAAACTCAGGTGAGAGCATTTACTGTGGGTTCCAAGGAGGCCAGGGACACACAGGTGGAGCATGCAGGCTTCGAACAGCTAGTGTGCATCATTTCAGTGGGCTCTGGGGCATTCCTGAGTTGTCTGGAACCAGCCTTGAGGTGATTAGAGCATATGGATGCTGGCCCAGAGTGTGAAAGCCTGATAAAGGAAAGTAGTCTGGGGTGTGGACACTGCATTGGTTGGTTTGCACAAGAAAGACACGCCAGCAGCCATCTCTAGGAAGTGAGCAACCCTGGGCGGGGAACTCCCTCACGAGTCAGCAAGGTCCCAGATGTCAAAGCATCAGAAACACACGGTTAATACAGGCCTGCACTCCATAAATCATGACCTTTGTCTTCTAATTCTAACGAAATACTTAATGCTACCTATGGTTCTTTTATTTTTGATGTAACATTAATTTTATTATTTAGTTTTAAAAGCTAATGGTATGTGTTGAAGAAAAAGTAATAGCAGTATGACGTAAATTCTTTTAACAATCTTGCCACATTTTACACCTCAGTAGTTTATTTATATTTTTTGCTGTGAAATGCTAGAAAAAATTCTTTGGTAATATTTTGCTCACAGTGTTGAGGTTGAGTAGTTTTTACAGCTTGGTGTTCAAAGATTTCTTTTGATTTTTAGGATGAGTTTATTGTGTTTTAACCAAAGGCTTATTTAGACTAAGAAAAAGTTCTGTAGCCCACAAGTTGTTCACTAAAAAAGGTGACAATAATTGTTGTGAGATGATTTCATAATGGTAATTTTTATTTTTATGGTTCCTTACCTGTTAATCTCATGGAATGTGTTACAGCCGTTCTGTTAGTGGCACCTGGCTTCAATTTTTGTAACATACAACATACTGATCCTTCCTTATATTTTCAAGTTCTGCACTGGCTGCTACCTACTATAGTTCCAGTAGGTTTGTGAGAGTCTGACTGAATTCAATGTCTGTGGGGCTTCCTGATTTGAGCCTAGCCTACATAATTTACTAGATATGGAAATACTTGGTCTACAACATTAAATTACATGAACATTTTATGTCATGTTTTGTTTTTTCTGTAGTCAAGTCAATGAACTCAGTGCTAAAAGAGGAAGAAAAACATGAGACAACTGTCATTCATTTTCAAGGAAACTACCTTTAACCATAACTTCTGTTCCTTCCCTTTCTTACTCTTGGATCACTGTCCACTTTAGTTTAACAAAATGACAGACGTCAAGCAGAGATTTTTGATGAGAATCAAAACCAGCACTTACAGAGTACTTCCTATGGGCTCCATTGCTTGCTTGAACTTATTGAATCTCATCATCCTTGGAGAGGCACTGCCATTGTGACTTCACATGCACAATCAAGATGTAAGGAGGTCAGCTTGCCCAAGGTCACACACAGACTGCAGAGACTGTGTTCTGAAACCTACACATGGTCTTCAAGATGGCCTTTTATTTACTTTTATCATGTAATAGAGTAAAAGTCTTATGTACCACATTTGGAAGGTATAATAGACACTTGTTGTTGGGAACCACTCTGCCTGGTTTCAGGAGTAGTAACTGCCCCCCATGGCTAAGGCTGAGTGAGTGACCTCCGGAATAAGAGCCACAAGGAGACAAAGCTTGTCTCTAGTAGCAAACGCTGCCTCTGCTTCCTCCCCCTGCCCCCAAAGCTTGGTCGGTTAGTCCATGATGGGTAAGACTCCTTAGAGAGGGCGAACCTAAGCCAGACACAATCACTTGGGAGGCCATAATGGAAGGACTGGGTGGGGGGTGCTGCAACAAAGAGGAGTGATGGACCCTCACCCCCCCCCCCCCCCAGCTATTCTGACATAGCCCAAGTCCCCATTTCCATCTGGGAGAAGTGCTTCCTGGCTCTAAACCACTTCAGCCTGAAAACCTGTGATGGGGGAGGAGGTGCAGTCTCTTGCCCAGCTAGAGTGGGACTGGGGGTGATTGGGCATGGGAATGGATTCCTAAACATCCTGTGAAGCCTGCTTTGCTAAGAGTGCTTTCATTCATATGTTAAGGATCCAAGCAGGAAATGAGTATGTCTCCCAAAGTTTCTACAAACCCCTTTCCTGACACTGACTCAGACTAAGCCCTCAGATGTCTTTGAAATGTTATCTACTGTTTGATCCTTGCCACCTGTATTCCTGTGTATAACAACCCAATAAAAGCCTCTGAGGAAGGGGCTCTTGGCATTTCTCCTCTGAGAGATTGGCTACCTCTCTTCCCCAAGCAGATCATGTCTTGGTAGTGTTATTTCATCCATGGTGGACGGGGGGACTTGCTGGCAAAGTTGCCCCCATAACTCATTACCCACCTGTGAACTTAACTACCTGCTCCCACCTGGTGCAGACCCTTTCACCAGAGTGTCCTACCAACACCTCTTCTGCTTCACTTGCTGGATTCAGTGTTGCACACAAAGGCCAGGCTTATTTCCCTTAAGAAAAAGCAAAAACACCCTCCTTGTGCCAGGGTTCTTAATTATCATCAGGATGGACCCTTTTGGGCATCTGTGAGAGCAATGCATCAATGAAGCCCAGAAAGAAAATAACACATATGTAAGAATTTTGGGCCCTGGCTGGTATAGCTAAGTGGATTGAGCATGAGCTAAAAATGAAAAGGTTGCTGGTTTGATTCCCAGTCAGGGCACGTGCCTGGGCTGCGGGCCAGGTCCCCAGTGCGGGGGCGGTGAGAGGCAACCACAAACTGATGTTTCTCTTTCTCCCTCCCTTCCCCTCTCTCTAAAATAAATAAATAAAAATTTTTTTAAAAGAAAGGTTTTGGGAAGTATTTCAATGTTTCACAAATCTCCTAAATCTACAAGTGACCATATAAGTTACACTCCAACCAGGACAACAGGAGAGGCAAAGGGGGAACTCTGCAGTAGCTACACTGAGGTACAGGTGGAAGCTGTGGCCATGTGGCCATGCGGCAGTGTCATCACCTCACTCTGACTTCCTCACTGGACTCCCACAGCTGTTCCTACCTCACCCAGAAGCTTCTGCTCCAGTATATGGTTCTCAACTTGTCATAATGATCCCACCTTGATGCTGTGACTTGCTGTCTTTTTTTCCCAGTCTCACTGAAATATAATTGACAAATGAAATTGTAATATATTTAAAATATAGAATGTGATAATTTGACACACACACAAATTATGAAAGAAGTCTCACCATCAAGTTAATTAACACACCCATCATTCCATAGTTATTTAACTTTTTTTGGTTGAGAATGCTTAAAGACTTATCTTCTTGACAAATTTCAATGATACAATATAGTATTATCAACCATCACTACTCTGTATATTTGATCCTTACAACTAATTTACCTTATAACTGAAACTATGTACCCAACTCGGAGGGCATGATGTTAAGTAAAATAAGTGAAGACAGAGGAAGACAAATACCATATGGCATCAATTACATGTAGGAAAAAATTAGAAATGGAGAGGAGAATGGCAGCTGCCAAGGGTGGAGGGTGGGGGAAGCTGGCTTGTCGTGGTAATCAGCTCTGGCAGCTCAGCCCTCTCCAGCTCTGCTGAGCTCCCGACAATGGCACTCAACTTATTTCCCCCTTTTAAGCAAGCACTCTCAGCTCTCAGTGGTGAAAACAGTGTTGTAACAATTGCCATGTGGGCAAACAACAGAATCAAGACGAGTTCAAGTCTAGCTCAATCATTAAATTAGCAATATGGCTTAAACTTAAAAACTTTGGGGTTTGTCTACAAAATGGGGTTACCTGACTGGGTTTGGCTCAATGTTCTCTTAAGGTCTACTATGCCAAGATTCTATGAATTATTCTTCTAAAACTAGCTTCTGAAATAACTAAAAAAATAAAGCAGCAGATTGAAGCTAAACATTTAAAAAATTATTTTTATAAAGTAACCTTTACAAAGTAGCATTAAAAATAAATACTCTCACAACTCAAGTGTCTGATAACGTTGCCCTCACACTGTGTGCCTGCCACATGCAGGCACACATGCAGCACGCCCTCTCCTGAGCAAACACTCAGCGCTTCTTCCAGGTGAACTTCCTGCGGGCTCCTTCTTGGCCTGGCTTCTTCCGTTCTCTGATGCGTGGATCAACAGTAAGTAGTCCGGCTGCAGCATAAAGAGAGAAGCCGTTACAAAATGTGGAAAATGTATGGTGCCAGGTAGAAAAGGAGTAAACCACGTGAATTTATAGGTACTGTTAGAAGAGAAAAAACTACAGGAAAGCAAGCAGACCTACAAGGATTCACCACCCTGGTATAAATCTCATGACAACAGTTTGCTTTTACTCTTCTAGGATATTTTTCCATTTCTGGGACAAATGCCAGCTACATTATAGTCTGCTTTCCTTATCCCGTGAGGACCAATTCCTTTTTGGTTTTTAAAGCTGTTTAACTTCAGATAAAGCTGCTCTTGTGTGGGCAGTCACTATTCACTGCAATAGAACTTACTCTGCATACTCATCATTACGCACATGAAAGTTTTAATGAAGACAAGAGGCAGAGAAGAAACACTTGTGTGGTAAAGTATAAGGAGATAACAGGTACCATATATTAATAGTATATATGAATATACATATACTTAAAGTATGACTTACTGAACATATTTGAGAACAAAATCTATTATTCTAATTTGTGGGATAATAATATCCCTGGTATTTTGTTTCAGAAATCTAAAAAGTAAGTTTTAGGGCTGTATTCTCAGCATAAGCTGTTTATTCTAGAAGAATAAACTTGGTTTAAAATAGAAGCTCCCATTCTACTAATCAATCACCAGGAGCAATTACAATTCCTGGGCAATTAAGGCATTACTTTCAGTGTATGGCTCACATGAAGCACCACAGTTGTGGATGGAGTCACAGTGCATTATTAGAAAACACCACGGATTTCAAAAATACCAGTGAGGAGAAAGCTCTTAAACTGCTTTATAAATATGTAAGTAGACCACAGTTTTTTACTGCTTTTTAAAAATTTTTACTCTTCCAACACTAGCACATCTTTTCCCTGTATACAAAGCTACAGTATTTCACCAGGGGGGGTCACAGAAGCAAAGGAAAACTTTAAGTGCTTATTATGTAGCCATAGCTTTTGCAATTTATTTGCACTTAAATGACATGGGGAAAAACGAATCATATTTTGAGAAAAATAGAGACGAGACCTGTCTAAATTCTGCTTTAAATTATAAGTAATTATGCTTTATTACTTTTCAATAGGCACAGTAACTCAAGCTAGCAAACTTGTTAAGATCCTATCAGATTATTTTAATGATGAGGTATGAATGCCACAAAATGGCAAACTGTTTATAAACAAAAGGATTAAGAGGCTTAAAAATTAACCATCCTAAGCCACAGGCAGCACCTGTTTCGACTCAGTATCAGACTCAGTGGCTGGGGGGATGGGCAGAGGAGCAGGGAGGAGCAGGGAGGAGCTGTGGCCACCATGTAAGGGGCAGGCCCAGGCCACAGCACTGTCTTTCCTTCATAAATATCAGTGTAAAGAACATCTTTAGCTAGAACTGCCCCCGATTTATTGTAAATGCTGAAGCACTGCCCTAATGAGCAAGCTGACTGCATATTCCTTCTCACACTTGTATCCAGGACCGAGTCATGGGGGCACACAAAGCAAGACAACATAAAATTGGAATTAACATCACAGTGGAAAAATGGAAAGCTCCAATAATTCTAAAAAGAAATACCTTAAAGGCTTCACCATTAAATACAATAATTATTATAACTTTTCATGATAAAACAAAAACAATCTATCTGTTAAACACAATTGAGCAATGTTTAAAGTGCTGTTAAACTGGTTCTTGTTAAAATAGTTTTGCCACAAGATCAAAATAAATATCCCCTGATGCTGACAGTGTCTCCCTTTTCTTTCTGTAATTCAAGTGCACTTTGTAGAAATCAAAACTGAAAAATAATGTTATGGTTCTAGAGTATGAAGAGAGGCCAGCAAACTGCAACACTGGATATTTAAGTGAGTGTTTTCTCACTAATTTCCGGTGAGTAGCATAAGAATAAAAGAAATACTTATAGACAGTATGGGACAACTGGACCCCTCCCCCCACAATTCATACCTTGTCTCATCCACTCAACCTCTTCCTCGGTGACAAAGCTGCACAAAGCTCTGGCCATCGCCAAGCGTATCGCTCCAGCTTGCGCAGACCTCCCACCCCCTGAGACTGTGCAGGTCACATCGTGTTTTCCAAGTCGGTCCAGGAAGTGGAAAGGGAACATCAACTGTTCTCTACAGCACATCACCAGAAATATGGTTAAGTTTATTATAAAATAGTTGGTTCTATAAATGGTTCACATTTTGAGCATTTAGAATGGTTTGCTGAGAGCAAGGTTTATTTCCCCAGGATATGGCAATATACTGTGTAAACTACTGCTGATTCCTTTTATCTTCGTAAGAACTTTTGAGGCTTGGAAATAACCTTGTAAAGAAATCTGAAATTTGGGAGTCTCCATTACTCAAATGAATCTAACTCTCTGTGGAGTCAATGATCAGGTATGATATCAACAGGCTTTCCCATGCAGTTATCTACTGTTATCGGGACTCACTAAATAGAGTATACTATAATGCATTTGTATAATGCAGGGGTGTCAAACTCACTTTCACCGGGGGCCACATCAGCTTCATGGTTGCCTTCAAAGGGCCAAATATAATTTTAGGACTGTTAAATGTAACTACTGCTTAACTGGGGGCAAGGAGCTGGCACTGCCACCGGGTAGAAACAAGGTGCTGGGCGGGATAAAACAAGGTGGAGGGCGGGATTCAGCCCATGGGCCTTGTGTTTGCCACTTGTGGTATAATGCATATATAATGCTCATCCTCACACAGTTGGTTTTTAAAGTTCCTAAAATTATATTCAACTTTTTTCTCCCCAATGAAACATATATTGCTATCAATAGTTTTCTAAGTGGCAGGGCCCTGCTACCTGCCTGATGCCAGGTGGCACTGTACAGCCTTAGTCGGGCCCGCTTCCCTCAATAGTGAGTGCCCATGTGGCCTCAGGCAGGCCCCACAGGATCAGAGAATGGAACACAGAACACAGCCCTGGACCTTCTCTTGCTCAAATGAACAAGTATTTACTGAATACTACTTAAGTGCCAGGTGCAGTGTTTACTACCACCTTTGTCAAGCATTTTGATTTTGCTACTTTAATATCTCTGCTGAGTTTTTATTTAGAAAAGTCAATTAATATTGCATTTTGCTTGCTTTGTTTGACACTGTAGCTTTCTAGACCCCAAACAGAGCTTATAACACAGTGAAGCCGACAGATGGATAGTCAGAACATTCAAGTATCACTTCTTGGACTACATTAGAAAAATAATCACATGCAGCAAGATGCATCAAACAGGACTTTCAAGGGCATAGTTCATGGGAATGTGTAATAATATTGTTTCAATAGAAATGTTGTTTTAAAAGGGAAACAATATAAACCTATACTGTTTTTTTGGACAAATGTTTCAAGGCAACCAAATAAAAAATAAGAATGTTATAAAAATAGTACAGTTATCAGTAATAGCCAATTATCATAATAACTGAAGAGGATTTAGAGACTGATAATCTATCCAATTCCACCATTTCATTTATTTCAACGAGGAAACAGCGGCCAAGAGAAAATCTGTGGACTGTCACGTGCACGTGTCACAGGAGGTCTCTGCCTACACAGCTAAATGAGTTACGGGCACGGTGTCCCCAGAAACAGAAGCTCCGGTCACCCACTGGTTTGGGAGTTTAAACATTCGTCTGTCTTAAGTCCTAAAATTTTAAGATTGCTCAATACGTGCTTATTAAAGAAACTTAGACTAAAACTAAAAAAAAAAAATCTCTATAATTTACTCACAATATATCACTACAGTAGTCAGGGTTAAGAAAGAATCAGGGTAAAGAAAGAACCATTTTGAAAAAGAAAAGAAAGAACCATTAGAAAGAGTCTAGATAGTTGAGAAGTTGGTATATACTGAAGTATACACCACCACTCAGTATATATAGATGAGAAAATACCCAAAGGGTATTAATAAAAATAATTATATTGTTATTGATTTTAATTAATCTGACTACAAACTGGTATATGCAAAGTGTTACATGGCTTGAAAATATTTCAAATTCATCTTTTCTGCTTGCAGGGATCCCAGATGAAATCCTGAGTTAAAAGAATCAAATTTATTTTGTTCCTTATTATATAATAAAAGTTACTTTGAAAAAAATAAACAATCAATTTTCTCATTCTATCTTCTCTGATTGCTACTCCCAGGGCAGTGATTCTATTAATATTAGCATATAACTTAAAATACATATCATTACATAGCCTCTTTTAATTTTCTATAGTTGCTTAAAATGCTACCCATATCTCTTCTGCTACATGGTTAGTGCTGTGTGAGTAATGTATTTCATTAATACAGATGATCAGTCAGAGTTGCTTTATTGGTTGACTGATAAGAACACAGGCCTTTCCAAATCAGAAAGATTATTAATCTTTGTATTCCATAGTACCAGGCACATAGTAATAAATGGTTAAGTGAGTAAATGAATAAAAAATTCCTAAAGATGTTGGGAAAGCAACATAGTCAACATTTCCAACCTCTGTTGCTGTTTATGTAAAAGCAGCCTAAAGAAGGTCCCTGAAAAGGTAAGTAAGCAGTTCAATTGACTCAGACAAGTGTCTTACAGAGATCAAGTTCAATCCCTCCTACCAATTAGAAGTGACCTTTAGGCAACTTGGCTATGGTCACACAGCTAAGAAACAGAGCTAGAACCACGATCACTTGACTTTTGGTTCAGCAGTCTTCCTACTGGTCAGCATCACCTTTCTAGTGAATCTGTAAGCTCCTGAGCTGCTTTGCTCCTGCAAGAGGAAAGGCAGCCCACGGCCAGCATGGCTGCCCTGAATGCCTGCAGCTTCTTGAAGGGGATGAGATGGTTTAGCCGCCCATTCCCATGAAGGCTAGTCTTAGGGTTCCCAATCAGGTAGAAAGCTTTTTGATCATAACAGCTGTGTTACCTTCGCAATACCAAAAATCAGATCATAACAGCTGTGGTATCTTCATAATACCGAGAAAAAGACTGGATCATAGACAATCTCTGTTAAATGTCTGTTTAATTCAAAATGAAGAATAAGTTCTAAGAATATATTTAATTGTGAAATCAAGCCAAAATTGAGACTGTGCGTTAAATCATCAGAGTTGTATCCAAAAACAAATCACTACATTTTTCGGACTATAAGATGCACGCCCCACCCATCTGGGAGGAATAATGGTTGTTAATGCTGCTGTTGAATTCTGTTTACATTTACATTGGTGAAATATTATGTTATTTATGCTATTAAATATTTCACCACATTTTTTGCTTCAAAAACTTTTTTTCCTATTTCCCTCCTCTAAAACCTAGGTGCATCTTATAATCCAAAAAATACGGTAACAGGCAAGTACTGGTCAAATGCCATTCCTCCTAGCAGTCCCCAATGTTGAAGCTATGAGCCTCTCTGGCTTTTCTTAAAAGAAATGAGAACTTCCTCCATTTGTTCCCTATGAAGATGATGGCACAATTACTTTAATTCATATTGAATGGAGTTAGAGTGCACTACTTCTTGACACAAACAGTCCTTTTCTGAAGTCATCTTTCTGTCCAGGAGCTTACATAACACTCGTTGGGCCCCCTTTCCTTTACATAAGCACTGGGAACATAAGCATAATGACAGTAAATACTGAAAAAATAATAACTGTTTCAAGAACAGGCCTTTGTACAGGACTCACAAAGAGACCTAACATGAGTATATGTAGAGGATTTGAATTATAACACCCATTTATGATTCATGTGATTCCTCTCTCTTTCCCCATGGGATACACAGTTCAAAAAAATAAAACTGTCCATATTTAGCACTGGGAACCAAGCAAAGCCTGATGAGTTCTTATTTTAAGGCATAAATGGCAGGTTTCTTTGATAGATCACACACACACACACACACACACACACACACACACACACACACACAATCTATTTCCTCTGAATAGGAAAACATCCAAAGTGATAGACCAGACTTTTTCTAATATTTGTGATGGCCAAGGCTGGTTTCTGTTGTTTTGTTTGGTGCATGACAACCCTTAGAAATCTACTTTTCTTACATTTTGGCACAATCTGAATTTCGGAATGTAAGATATATCTAAAATACCCAAATTCCAGTAGCAGCTAATGAAAAGAAGAGGAAGATTCAGTTAAGGAGGAATTTTTAAGATTTTTTTTTTTAAATATGGAAAACCACATAAAAAAGAATGATAGTTTCACTCCAGCTAGTTTGATAAATTATATTGGAAAAGAGAAATACATTTGTCTTTATATTGGTAAAGACAAATACAATCGGAAAAATCACAAGCCTTAATGAACTGATCATAATGTATAATGAAGTATACTTTCTTTAAAAACTAAAAGCAAAAGCAAAACCAGACACTGACCTGTCCTGTGTCACAGGGAAGTAAAGCAGGTAATCGATTCCATTAACTTTTATTCTTCCACTTCCATGTTCATAAACAACTGCCTCTGCTTTTGCACTCTTTCTCTTACCTTTGAAAATATAAAACTTCTATTAGTAAAAATCTGATAAACCAGGGCTCTGAGACGATAAAACTACATGAAAAGTTTTTTCTTCTGAATAACAGTATACAGCGGCATATACAGAAAGTGCTAGGACTTCTACAAGTCAAATAAAAATAAAGCAGGTAAACTACACCATAATCAATGTAATAAAGCTTATTATGAGGTAATTTTGTTCTGCAATTCCGTCTGAATAAAACTGTAATAATTTTAAGTTAGTTGTTCACAAGCAACAAAGTAATTCACATTTATATAACTTAAAAAAGTCAACTGATTAAATGTCCTTTTATAGTCAATAAAAATACTGTATTCAATAAAATATGTGTAACCATAATTTTTAAATATTTGAGAAATATGATAAAATGTAATTGATAGAAATGAAAGTAATACCCAGAAAAGGTTACATTTTTCTGGAAACATTAGTTAAAATGGCAAAGCAATGATATTAAGTTTTTAAGAGCTGCAGATCTATCACTTAATGCATTAATTTTTAAGTTACACCATGTGAAATGTCTCCACACACCTACCAGAGAAATGTGAGGATCTTAAGTTTTCACGTGTTTCATAGTGTCAGCATCTGACATGCAGACTCACTGAGCATTTTCATTTTATAAGAAAACTTAATTATAAATATTTTTCCATCAGTTGAAATGTGAAAATAAGATTTAACATAAGTATGTAAAAATAAAAACGGTGCAGATGACTGTGTAGGAAAAGTGTCCAGATTTTTTTCTTGGGACATTGTAAGGTTCGATTTTTAAAAACTTCCAATAGAATCTTTAAAATGAGGAAATCCAATGTCACAGTAGCAAAAATAAACAAATAAACCAATCAAATGGAGAGGATAATTGTAGTTTCTCAATCATCATGGAATTTATTTTTCCTCCATGAAATGTCATTACCTTCACTTGTGCTGAAGGCCATTCCCTGCTCGTCATACTGCACAGGCTCAATCAGCTGTTTTTTTGATTGAATAGTTACACTCCTACGAAAGCTCTGCAAAAATTCTTTTTCAGTAGCACCACACTGCAGTGTCAATAACCTTTCCAGCAGCCGAATGAACTGTGCATACTGCAGACAATAAAAATTCATTAGAAGATGCAAGTGTAATTGCATTTGCTAAATTTCTTCTATTTTTATAGACCTGATCTTTCCAATGTTGTTTTTCTTGATGAATTTTGACAGGATGACACTTTGGCACCTTCATGCTGCTTTTAGAAAACTGTGTAGATGCAGCACTTGTCCTGTGGATCTTTAGTGCTCTCAGTCTTTTCTTTTGAGAAATAAAGAGATTTATCATTTAAAGAAAAGTCAACTTCTCCATATTTTGATGACATGAAATTGAGAGTTAATTTCATTTCCCAAAAAATATTTAGATGATCTTCAAGTGTAATTTCTACTCTTTTATCTAGAGAAGCTTCATAAGTAATTTCCAGTAAGTTATGTATAGCAAAATGGGGAGAGTTTGATTTTGAGAAAATGTACCTCTTAAATTATATCTCATAATACATTTGGCAAATATATCTTTAGCTGTTCAAGCTGTGTTACTTTAATGTTTATGATTTCCTTTAAAACCGAACAATCAAGCTATTTAAAAATTCAAGAGATACTTGACTTAAAGGGCAACCTCTTGAAATAAATTATCCTTGCTACTCCATGCATTTTTTAAATAGTTCTTGAACATGTGATTAGAAAGTAAACAACTTGGTATTAACCCCTTAAAATTAGAAGCCAGAATAATCATTCTAAAGTGTTTATACAGAAGGAAACAACTAATACTTGAAATCCTTAGTTAATATGAAGAGTGAAGCCTAATTTTGATAACCTTATTTGTGTTTTTGCCAACCCTAAAAGTCACATTCACCTTGTTACCATTGCCTTTAGTGTGAAAATCTGCCATTAATATATAAAAATCTCACCAATAAGATTAAGAGGGCTATTTTGATTACTATTTCCTGTGATGTTACAATAAAAGAGAAGGAAATTGCTCTGACTAGTGTGGCTCAGTGGGGTGGGTGTTGTCTCACAAACTGAAAGGCTGCTGGTATGATTCTAGGTCAGGGCACAGGCCTGGGTTGCAGGCCAAGTCCCGGGTCGGGGGCATGTGTGAGGCAACTGGTCAATGTTTCTCTTGCACATTGATGTCTCTCTCCCTCTCTTTCCCCTCTCTCTAAAAATAAATAAATATAATCTTAAAAAGTGAGAGAGAGGGAGAGAGATAGAAGACAATTTTCTAAGCAAGGGAGGAATACTTAGCCACCTATGGTACCAGCCTGACAAAACTCCAATCTTCCCCTCCCTTTCAGGCCTATGTCCTTTGTCCTCAGCTATTCTCTCAATTCCATCACACAGTGTGACTACTGGTGAACCTACCAAGGGGAAACTACAGATACAACACAGCCTTGCTCATGAGCTAAGAAGTTTAAGAAGTCACTGCCGCTCTGCCTCCCACATCTTGATACCAGACTTCAACTTCAGGATTTCTTCTGATGGCCACTACCCCAAATGTACAGAAGACATATACATTCATATGCACACCTGTGATAATGTCTTTGGGATGTTTTCAGAATGAAAACAAATAAACACACCTGCATTATAAAAATCAAAGCAGCCAGAAAACAGTAAACAATAGAATGATGTACGTTTTCAATGACAAAGCAAAGGGAGACTTTTTTCAGTTAGACCCTAATGCAGTGATACTGATTTCACGGTTAGTATATTAGAAACTAACTCCAGACCAGGGGTGTCAAACTCATTTTCACCAGGGGCTACATCAGCTTCGAGGTTGCCTTCAAAGGGCCGAAGGTAATTTTAGGACTGTATAAGTGTAACTACTCAACTAGGGGCAAGGAGCTCAGCACTGCTGCCAGGTAGAACAAGGTGGAGGGCCAGATTCAGCCCGCGGGCCTTGTATTTACTACCTGTGCTCTAGGCCTACCACTCACTCACCAAATGCTTGACACCTTGTGTTTAAGCGAACTACAACTTTACCATATCATTAATTTATCCAATATGTTAAACAAGAAAAAGGGCAATTTCGGTACAAGACTTAAAATCCACAGGGTGGCAAGGTACTAACGATGGCAGCCATTGCCAAGGGGAAAAAAAACAACTCCTCTTGGGACAATTTTGAAATTAATCTACACTGAAATCTTAAAAAAATAATCTACATTTAGAGCATCAAGATATTTAAAACATCAATTTCCCTCTGATGATACTGGCATATATTATAACATTTAGCAAAATAAAAATCTGAGACCTAAGTGGGATATCACACTTATCTGAAGAGTTCGTTAAAAATACTGATTCCTATATGACATCCCTAGAAACTCTGAGCTATTCCTGATCCTTAAAATTACATTTTGTAACCAGCATTCCAAGTGATTCTGACACAGGTGGCTCTACAGATTCCAAGATAAAAAACAGTGGCCTCAGAGATACTTCACATGAGTAAGCCAAAAAAGCAGTAAACTGTGTGAAGGTAACCAGGTGCTTTACTCCTTTTCTACTTAACCTATAATAGCGCCTTACACTTATCATCAGCTTGTAAAGTTAGCCATCCCCTTTACTGAAAGAGATGAAAAAAGGCCTCTATTATGCTTCCCTAGAACAACTAGCAGAGGACACCAGGGCACTTAGATAAGGAGGGTCTGGAGACCAGGCATGTAACCTTCCTCCTTCCATGGCAGAAATCAAGTACAAATATGTTATAAAAAGGAAAATTATCTTAGAAACAATTGCCTCCAAGGAACATTACGATTAGGGTCCTAAAACAGCAATTGTCTGCATTGTTATGGTACAGGTCCCCTTAAATCTGAAAAGATTAATTACTCACATCTTGATCTGACAGTTTTTCCACTAACATTTCTTCTAGTTCCTCCTTAATCAGCCATCTGCTACCAATCAGGTCTCTGTTAAAATATCACATAGATTCTCTTTTAAATTAACCATGCAATTAGAGTTATATCACAAAAGATCTCAGATGTAGTAGCAATTCTTGATTGGAAAAGAAACTTTTCTACTATATAGCTGTAAAATTTCATTGAAGTGAACTATTTTCCCAATAGAATTAATATTTCATGTCCTCAATCTATTCTAGAAAAGGTATCGAATCTAGCAAATGTTTTATTTGAAGAGTTAATATACCATTGTGGAAATTAATTGGTATTAAAAGCCACCAGATTTCTTAAAAATTAACCTTTCACTTGTTTTTCATAATTTATTTCAAAGGAGATGTTATGGATGCAAAGTTAATCTGTCAATGGACTAAAGTAGTAGTAAAGTCCAAATACAGGGCCAGGGGTAGTATTTACAAGCTAAGCAAGATATGTTCAAAGATGTGTGTTTGTGTAAGAAAACACACATGAAGCACCAGGCCAAAATGTAAAACTGGCTGCTTAAGACAGTGGATCTAATCTGTCACTATTGGCTAAATGAAAGACTAAAATACTAAACAAAATACTAAACAAAGTATTTGTTTGAAATACTAAACAAAAACACAAATAAACCCCCCCCCCCCAAACTACAACCATGTAGAAGTAAGTAAATATGTAGCTAGCTATATAGCTATACAAGGCCTGTCCAGAAAGTATCCAGACATGTGATATGAAAAATAGAGACATTCATTGAAGAAGATACAAGAAACATTGTACACAGGACAATGACGCCTCTGTCCCCTTCAAAGTAGCACCTTGGGACCTCATACAGTTCTTCTAATTGCTATCAACTGCCCCATTGTATTTCCTTGAATTTCACTGATGTCTGAAATCTCTTCCCTTTCAAAGGTGACTTTAGTTTTAGGAAAAACCAAAAGTTGCAGGGCCCCAAATCTGGGTTTGGAGGGGGCCGCAGCCCTGGGTGAGGGCACCTCACCTGGGTGATTTGATGTTTTACCAAAACACTCTGCACGAGATGTGATGCAAGAATGGGTGTGTTGTTGTGTGAAACTGCAAATCACCAGTTGCCCATAGCTGTGGCTTTCTGAATCATCAGAATAGTTTTTGTAGAGGAATGTTAAAGTTTAATGCAAAATTCGATGCAGATTCATTGTTCTACTCACTCATTTCGAATGTGACAGCCACATAGTACACATGTTTATTCAAAGGCATCTACCACCCCCAATGACTAGTACAGTAAAGTCGTCATTGTTCACACATGTGAATTCCAGTCCACTCTCCTTGGCTGCCGGGTTACAATGATGTTGCTCAAACTGTTTTAGTTATACTAAGAGTGGCTGGACTTTTTCTGGACAGACCTTGTATACACAAGGTATATACTAAAATAAAAATTTGAGGATATCATACTCAAATATAGTTATTACATACCATTTAGCACATAAATATGAAGTGAAGTAACATAAATATAATAACCATAATATTTACTTCCTCTATTATTTTGACCTCTAACTTTAATGATTAATGCTGAAATATAGAACCAATTTCTAGGCTTAAGCTGTGCTTGAAAAACATTAATAATAACTTGCTTGTTTTTAGTCCAAATTTTTCATATATCTTAATGCAAGAACTTACTTGGTTTTAGCTTCTTCTGAAAATAGACCTTTGGCTTGCAACTCATTTTTATGTTTTTCTAAATTGAGTAGCTTTCCATAAGCATCCTATAGCAAACAAAATATACATAATAAAGTGAGAGATGATACATTATTACTTCTACTTTATATTTTCCTTGAACACCCCTTACTTTGAAAGTGACCTCCTCAAATTATGTAGCTGCATAGCAAGTAATACTGAAAATACTTTTTAATATTATTTTGCATTCAAACTAAAAATGGGAGAGTAATTTCAGTGAGATTTTAGTATAATGCATACCTTAACTGATTTTCAAGTATCTCTGTAAGAAACAACTCCAGTGAGGTTGGTAAAAACAAAACAAAGCTACAAACTATTTTCCTTAGTTCCACAACCAGGAACAAAAATTTTCCTTAGAAAATAACCTTAATTTATATAGCAATATGCACTTTAAACTCAGAGACTTAATCAGTAAAAGTTATGGTATTTATAGCTGAACTACTTATCTTATTTACATAATATTTAAATCTTCGCTATGTAGTGTCTTACAGTTTTTAATTTATTTTTCATTATCTAATTTATTGTGTTAATATATTTTTTAACAAAGTCTGTGAATGTATGACACTTGTTAAACTGTAACGCAAGTAGGGGAAAATTTTTGCCATTTTGTTACAACTTGGCAATAAAGATTATCAATGAAATACATTTTTCAGAAAATGGGTTTATAACAAATAGGATGTAACTGTTTCCCATTTTTTGGTTTGAACAAACTTAAGTATTTGAAGACTCACATCCAATATGTGAGTATTCATTTATAATTTCCACGTAACTTCCCATAATAATACCTAATGAACATAGGTATTTTCATAGAATGAGTTAGACATGATATAAATGATATTTTTTCTAATCATGACACTTTCCAATGTCATTAGCTAATGTCAGAAGACAAAACTTATTACACATACAGATGTCCATCCATATCTCCAATAGTTTTAATTAATCATTTCAAACTTGAGGGGTGGTTTCTTATGGGCTCTGATTAGACTGCTATATCATGTCTATGATGCTAACAAAGAGTTTGTTCTAAGAGAAGTGTCCCTTTGCCACTATCTTTTATTTACTAGTGCTTGCATTTTATTATCTTCATTCCATAACCTCTGATTGGTACTGGAATTGATTGGTGAGTAAAGACAAAGAAAAAAAGCAGAAAAAAGAAGAGAAGCAGCTAGTCAGAAGCTGTAAAACTGAGGCTAAGCTACAGATTCTAACATGGACATGAGTATTTTAAACAAAGTGAAGCAATCACAGTTTAGGAATCAATAATGCAATTTCCTAGGGCACCAGAGGAGAAGCAGCATCCAAGCCTAAATCTGGTTAGATGTGTAAATTTGCAGATCCCACACCAGACTTTCAGAAAAGGACCCTTTGTGGGAGGGGCCCAGTGATCCATTTCAATGATGCCTCCAAGAGATGTGCACTAAAGTTTGGATTTGCACACTAGGACTATGGAGAGCTGAGTTCAATGCAATAGTGAAGGACAAATTAAGTCAATTTGATTCTACTGTTCTAATTAAGAATAACTATCTCTACAACTACATTCAAGGTACAAATCCATCAGCTATAGCAGTAGATGGTATGTGACAATTTGAAATAAACAACTGTCTACCCTAAAGAAAGCAAGAACTAATATGAACAATACATGTAAAATTTATAGCTCCTATTCATCTTAAAATTTTACAACTTGCCTCCCATGAACTGGTAAGCCTCATTTGACTGGTTGTGGTTAGGATACTTTTGACTCATTTCTAAAGGCGCAGATAGTAGTTTGTCACCCCCAACTGAATAGAACATCTGAAAAATGTCTATGCACCTCTGTTTTGAGAAAGAAATTCTCAAGTGCTCTGAATAAGCAAAATAAAGAAAAAAACACACAAAATGGGCCCTGATAGGAAATGGACAGACACAGTGCAAACAGCATCTGCTGTGCACCAGACTCTGCCAGACCGTTGCGCCTGGGGACTCTGGTAAAAGGGCGACGCCAGTGAGCCTGAGTGCATAACTCAGAGATGCGGTGTCTCTCAGATCTAGCTAAGAAAATATAAATCCAAGAGAACATCAACAGTAATAAGATACCCTCCCCTGCTTGTAAGGATCTATTTAATATTCTGGAATAACAAGGCAACTTAAATAAAAATAACTAACCTGCCTCACAGGGAAGTTTCAAGCCAAAGTTTGGGCCACTAACTTCGTCATCACTTTCCGGTGACATTTGAGCAATTTTACCTTAAGTCCATGTTTTTCTTAAAATTTTCTCTCACTATGCTAGTACCATCCAGTGTTATATTTAGCTCCATAATAATTTATAAATAGTATAAAATAATCAGAAAAAGTGCAGGATATGAGAAAACAACTGAAAAGTACATGTCAAATTTCAAACATGATAAATTCTGTTCATTTGTGACAAATGTTAACACTTTGATGGTTGTAATTCATCAAATTAAATAATGCTCATTAAGCCACCCCTTATACTTCTTTAAATAGGAAAATATACACAAACTACTTAGCACAGTGCCTGACCTATGCTAACAGTCAAGAAATGACAGCAGGGGTTAGGGATGGCATTCAAGAGTCTAATAACTGAGAAGCAATTTTATTGGTGCATCATTTCTATTTTTCTTTCTTTTCTACATAATAAAACCACTCTTCAGATTCTATCTTGGTTAGAAACAACAGTTCTCTGGAAAGCGGATTCTATAGCTTCAATTCCCCGAAGACATGTGTACTAATTTACATCAAAAAATCCTGAAGGGTATAAAATATGCCAGGAACTGTCAACAACACAGGTTATCACTGGTAGCTTTTGGTATATTGGTATATTGTTAAATTTCCACTTAAATTTTAAGGGACACTAGAGAATTGGTATGACCCACCTATATTGAGTTTATATACTATATTTAATAGTGTAATTTTCACATATGACAGGATAACCCAGATGTGAAATGCTGAATCATTAATCACAGTTATGATTAATATTTCATAAAATCAAAGCGAGCCTATCCACCCTTGTGTCATCAGATTTCCATAATGTATGAGTCAAATTTAGAAGGTGCCTAATTTGAAAATACCAGATGCTCAGGTTGCAGAAGTGTTTAAACTGAACCCTTCCAAGAATGTGAGCAACATGATTTTTCATCTAAAAATCTGATTTTAGTCTTCTAAAATCTGTTTTGGTTATTTTAATCATGTAGAAATTCCATTTTAGGATGGGTAAATGAATGACATTTCTTGGGAGAGTGGTACAGAAAAGGCAACTGTATTCTGATATACAATTATACATATCACACTAATAATAACTATCTTAGGTACTAGATCAAAAACAGAAAAGTAACACACTTAAATATGTATTTGTTTTTTTAAAAGAAGAATCACAGAAAGTCAATTTCCTAAACAACAATCTTCTTAAATTTTTGGCTTTCGGCACATACAGAATCAAATGAAATAAATATAATTTATTTATCATGGCTTCTGTTATTTATCCAAAGTTCCAAGGAACATATTTCTACTGCAGACCCTTGCCATCAGTCTGTGAAAACAATATGCTATATAGTTGACACATCATGTAGTGCTATTCAACATCAAAAGGGAAACAGCCTCATACATGGGTCACATAGAAAAGTACTGTGGGAGAGTACAGATCTAGGAGGATTATATAAAAATGTCTGTAACTCATATACCATACATTTTTACTACTCAAAGCAACATCCCACCATATATTATAACAATTATACCATCATAAAAATAACCTGATTATAACAACAGAGGCCGTAAGTTGAATTAGCCTTTAAAAATTTTTTAAAAAATTGTTACTGCACGATATACAATGGTAATTATTCCTATGTGAGGAAAATGTATATCAAAGATACTTCTGTAACAGTGGTTTCTACTGCTGAATTAATTCCTGTTGTCAAGAAAAGTCTTAAAATAGCACATACATATGTCAGCATTAGTCTGTAGCACATTAAAAACTAAGCACATTACATAGTTGTAGTTATTTTACAATATCTGTGAGAAGGGTCACTATGTTAATTCCATTTTGACAGCTAAAAGCACTACATCAGGAGTTTTAAATGTTCACCACAGGTTACTGAGAAGATGTGAAGGAAGGGAGACCTCTGTGGCTCCAAGTCCCGGACTTGCAGACGTGCCCTTCACCAGGTCTGAGTTCTCCACCTAAGGAGCCCAATGATTCCCCTGGGGCTTCTCTACTCTGTAAGTCATTTAAAACAAACTGCAGAGCAGCCAGCTCCAGGAGGAAGAACGGAAGAGGGGAGTAGAGCCAATGGGTAGAAGATTGCATCACGATCTACGCAAAGACATTTGAAGCCGTAGCCAAGCTACAATCTTTCCAAGAACTTTGAACTCCCTCCTGCCCTCAACTCTGGGAAGATTCCTCCAGTAGGAACTCAATCGAGGATGCTGCATGGCTGCCTCATCTACTTCCTCTGCCTCTAGACTATCATTTCAGAATGACCTCTCCACCTCAATGAGCATGCCAAGAGCCCAGTTAATTCTGATTCCCAAGTACCTGGAAGAAGGCCAGGCAGGCCAGCATGTCAGCCACATAGCCCCCCAGGGCCTTCAGCGATGGGTAGGACTTGACCATCCACATGGATGGCACTTTACCCATAAGCATGCTATTGAAGACATCCTCTAGCTCTGAGGACATCAGGCCCTGCCCTTTGATGGCTCGGCCAAGATTGATGAGACTTCTACGAACCACATTGGTCAACCTGTAAGAACAAAGAAGCCACTCAGCCCACTGCACTTCACCAGTGGGCTAATTCTACCTGAGGATACTGACTCTTAGTCTCCTTTTACTTTTCCCTCCTTCAGCAGGACTTCCGCCAAGATGGAGGCGTAGGAGGAAGCACTGTACCTCCTCCCACAACCCAGCAACAAAACACAGCCAAAACCACAGAAAACTGAACTTCACGGAAGTCTGACAACAGCGAACCCTTCAGCCAAACCTGTGAGAGGGGCAGAGCCAGGAGCAGAGCGGGGTCGGGCAGGAAAGATCCACTGGACCCAC